TGTTTCGAGGGGTGAATCGATTAGCTTGGGACCGAAGAGAGTACCAGAGCTGAGCCAAAAATATGAGCACGTTATTTCGGGACCTTCTAATCTTAGAGTTACCTCTATGCTGATACTGCGGTCGGAAATGTGGAATTGTAGCTAACAATGGGTGTATATCCATAGTTTATGGAAGAGACTTGTGGTACACTTGTAACTACTATGCAACATTGTCCTACTACTTGAGGGAAATGTGTGCACATAATCGCCATATCTCGATGCCCTACTCCCACTAATTGGTACTTTAATAACTCGCCGGTAATGACTACTGGACATAGGGTTAATTTCTATGTTCAGAGGCGGAGCACTACTGTTGACTTCCCGCGAACCATCCATCGTAGCGGAAGTGTTGATCCCGATAAGAGAATTGCATCTCATCAGCAAAGAGGAACCTACCAGAGGCCGTTGGGGTACGTCAAATGTGATTTCGGTGCGTGATACGAAGCTGCGGTCTGACCTCACTGGAATCGGAATTTGAGGTACCATCGTTGCAACAGAACACTCCACGCTTCTGGAATCATCCACTGAATTTGGCGTGGAAGTTGACGCTGGACCCGTAGTCACTACGGCGGGAACGTTTGACGTGATGAGACTTGATGTGATGGGAGCTTGAATTAAAGACTGCTGAACTGGTTCTGTAGCTACGGCCGGTGACTTCATGTTACTGGGGGGCACTACTGTCACTTGCTGTGCTGTGCCGACTTCCTGTCCAGTAATCCACGACCGAACTTTCTCTCGACTAGCTCGACTGGTCAGTCTTGATTTCCTACTGGCTCCTTCTTCTGCATCATCCGCTTCGGTCATGAGTAGATCGTACTTCTGCTTCAAAAACCGTTCCTCCTCTTCGGCTAGCTTTGTTCGCGCTACTGCTTGAGCCGCCTGTTCCTCCAGAATTCTCCTCATCCGCAAGGCTTTCTGCTCTTCCATCATCTGCAGGCTTAGCTCTACTCGGATCGAGCGTTTAGTGGTAAACGAGCGACCGACGGACGAATCATCTTCCAGCGATCGGCATCGATCACACTTCCAAGTGCGATCCGGGTAGGCGATGGAGTCCGTAACACCCGCGCAGTCGAAATGCACCCACGTCTCACACATATCGCATCCAACAAGATGGTCTGCTGTGTCCAGCCGATCGCATTTGGCACAGTGTTTTGCATTGCTGTCGCTCATTTTTCGGTTCGACTAGAACCGCCGGAAAATCTTTGAAGATTGTTCGGATTCGGAAGGAAACACGTCCTGATAAATCACCTAGCTCAGCTTAGCCAGTTCACTTTAACTAATTAACACTTTAATTTTATCAACTGTAGGAATAACTTTTACTAACAATTTAGGTTTAATTCAATTCACATCAACCATTCAATCATGTTGGTTTTATGCTCCATGTGACAGTTCTGGACACGATGTTATAGAGATTGCTGACGTTTATCGTACGCACACTATTTCACGTATACGTATACGCAAATTGTTTTCATCGGGAAAAAAAACTTCATAGCGAAAAAATTTCCCGATGAAAACAAATTACTGACACAATCACTTTTTAGCAATCTCTATGCTCCTTGACGTTTCTCCCACTGACGTCTACGAGTTCTCGCGTTGACAGCTACGGGCGGTACCGAACTCACCCAACTGTTGTCCGAATCAGCCCTGCGGTTTCGTAACACTAATAAAGACTTGTGCGGATTGCTTCATGTGGCTTGAAAGTTCTGTCGGGACTTTATTTGAACTTTATGGAACTTGGAAGTGTCCTGATGAATGTGGGCGTCTTATGGTAATTAGTAATAGAAATTACTAATCCTTCTCTCTCTCATTATACTTGGAAGTGGTTTTAATCGTTGAATGCGGAACTTTTGGATACTTGGGAATTGATGCGCCATTTGTGCGGATATCATGAGGTCAGCTTTGAGCATCTCTGCTGAAATCCGATCGACCGCGGGAGCCTTATTGGTTTTCATGCTTCGAATAGCTGCTTCGCACCTTTGTGGATCATGTCGCGATGAAGATGACTACTTGGGCGTCGAAACTTGAAGAAGTTGTTGGAAGCGCTCAAACCATCGTTTCAGCTGGTCAGTGGGATCCGTAAGCAACTGAACAGTTGCGTTGTTCACCACATTATTTATTTATTTATTTATTTGTCAGCATCAACAGACTCGATATGGTCCCAATGATGGTTTAACTTAAAATTAAAATTAAAGTCATAAGTTAAAACTACAAAACATTAAAACATGATCATTGACTGTTTCCATTTCTGGAGAAGAATGAAGAGAAACGTCTCCGAAGTGTTAGTCGTGGCAGGTGAAAATCGAATCCTGATGAAACTCGGTCAAATACTCGCTGCAGTCCGCCTGCATAGTTTGTCCTACGTAGTGGCATTCTCAGCATAACATTGTTACGAAGCATTCGGAGTTGGACGTTAATGTTTACTTGCTCCAAGATTGCCATGCAATCAATTCTGCCATGTAACGTGTCCGCGACAAGCAGGGCTTTTGAAGTATCTCTTTTGGTGCGAAGAGGCTCCAATTCGATCAGCTGGCAGCGAGTTTCATAGCTGGGCAAATGAAACGGGTCTCTCCAAGGTAACATTCTCAACGCGTATCGCGGAAAGCGGCGTTGAACGGACTCGACTCTCTCAGTACCATTGTTGTAGTTCGGACTCCAAACCACAGAACAATATTCTAGAATGGAACCTACCAGGGAACAATACAGTGACTTGAGGCAATGGATGTCGGAGAAATTCTCTGCTGTTCTGAAGATAAAGCCCAATGTCCTTGACGATTTGTCGACGACGTACGAGATGTGTTGCTTATATGTAAGATGAGAGTCCAGGATGACACCTAGATCTTTTACATGGCTCACACGTTCAATAGTGGTGTCCCGGAGAGCATAGTGAAAAATAACTGGTTCTTTCTTTCGGGTAAAAATGCTGACTGAACACTTCACAGGATTTACTGTCATTCGGTTCAAATGGCACCAGCTGGCAAACGCTTCAAACTGACGTTGGAGGAATTGACAATCATCGATCGAGCAGATCCGTAAGTAGATTTTGAGATCGTCTGCATACGATAGTCGTGGACCTTCGATAACTAAATTCAGGTCATTGAAGTAGAGTAAGAAAATCAACGGTCCCAGATGACTTCCTTGAGGTATTCCTGACGTAGCGGCGAAAATGTCAGACTGGCAGTCACCATGGGCTACCACCAACTGACGATCGGCGAGATATGAGCAAAACCATCTCAAGAGATTTCCGCTAATCCCAAGTCTATCCAATTTGGCGATCGCGATGGCGTGATTTATCTTATCGAAGGCAGCAGACAAGTCAGTCTAGATGACGCCTGTTTGTGACCTTTCAACCATACTTTGCGTGATGTACGATGTCAAACACAGTAGATTCGTGGTAGTAGATCAACCAGAGGTGAAACCATGTTGATCTTCACTTAGATACTGCTTGCAATGGCAGAGCAGAGACTCTATGATGATTAACTCGAATAACTTCGAAATTGCGCACAACGATATAATTCCACGATAATTATCCACGTTCCGTTTACTACCCTTTTTATACACAGGGAACATATGCGCAAATTTCCAGTTCGATGGAAAAATGCCACACGATATGGACAATCGGAACAGATGTTGTAGCGGTGACAGTATACACTTAAACAGAGACCCTGAGTTCGGTAAAAAAAATTACCGTCTTAGATCGGTAATGCTAAAAATTACAGATGTTTCGGTATTTTCTCGCTTTATTGCTGAAAACTGTAAAAGAAATGACCGAATTTCGGTAATTTCATTTTAATTTACCGAAAACGGTAAACATTTTTACCGGCAGGTCTGTAAATCAGCTTCATCACTGACTTCGGTGAAATATTTTACTGAAGTTTCGGTAAACAAAGCGTTCCATTACTGAGTTCGGTAATGGTCTAGGTAAACGTCAAATCCACCATATGCGTTCGTGCATGTGAAAAATAAAAAGGTCCAAGTTCCATTCCCGTTGACGACGATCTGAAAACAGCATTTGGAATATTCTTCCAAAGCTTCCTTGTTTTCAGTGTAGCGCCGAATCCTTCCGTCAAAAACGGGTTTGTTCATTGGTGGTGCAATTTGCAACACTAACTTATTGATCACGACAGCAGCCAAATTTTTACATGGGTTGCAGTGACCGCCACCTTGAAACAATATTAAAGCAAATTACAGTTGAGTCGGTTACCTTTTTATAAAATTACAGATCTCTCGGTTATTTTCAATTTGCATATCGTCCTCAAAATTACAGTTCTCCGGTAAAGTCGACTACAAATCAAGCAATGCACATCGGTAAACGTTACCGATCGTTCGGTAAATTTGACAGTTAATTTTGCTGATCCAGTTTACAGATTTTTCGGTAATGTTCTCGATTACCGAAAACATTACCGACCGTTCAGCTGTTGAGAATTCGGTAAATGAATTACCGAAGTCGGTGATTTTTTCTAAGTGTGAAGTTAGCGATATGCTTCTTCAGAAAGACTGAAGGGACACCATCCGGTCCAGGGTTGATAGAAGGCTTTAGTTTTAGTGCGGCAGTCGTTATCACTTCAGCGTTGACAACAATTCCACCCAGAGCTTGACCGGAAAGTGTCGTGAGATATCATATCAGTAAAGTTCGTCGCAGTCCGACGTTGACCATCTAATCTACAAAACGTTAATTAGACTAGTTGTAGCGAGGGGCACGCACAGAGGTGGCAAGAGTACATTTTTTGCAAAACCATCGTCCAGAGCATTCAAACTTTCTCAACTGAGACAAAATGTTACTTACGATCTATTGAAAAATCACTCCAGAATTATCTATAGATAATTAAACGCAGAGGTAGGGAGGGTCTACAGTCCCAAAAATCTGTAGTTTATTAACCCCTAGGAGTTAAGGAATTCTTTACAAAAAAATGAGACATTGATCCAAATGGGAATGATATAGCATTAAAAATTTAGTAATCGGTGAATTCTATTAGAACATCATTTTAGTAGGTATTGGTATGCAATCTACTGCCAGTCACTGTCCACACGCTCCCAATTTTCAATGAAAGTCTTATCGATAGTGTTGATCATCACCTCACCGCAGAACAGACAATCCGACGCAAGAATGTCCTCGATCTGACTTTTGAGATGTTCCTTGCTATTAGAAATCCCCTCGGCGGTAGTGCTTCCGGTGTCCATCGGCTGATTCTGCGCCATCGTCAACTGTTGCTTCAGATTCATCAGATGATTGACTATTTCTGGATCTGAAAAAAATATGAAACGGGTTTATGTTGATCATCAGACTCACTCAGCTGAGGTGCTACTTACTCAGCTGAGGTAACAGCTGCCGCTCGAGGCAATCACCGTGAAATTTGTGCCCACAGTGGAAAATGAAGAACGGTTTCAACAGCAGATACACTCCACAGATGGCGCACTGTTCCTGGCCGCCGATCGTAACCGACCGATTGCGGAACGTCTGTAGCTTGGTTCGGACCTGCTCGGCCGAATTGGCCGATTCTTCCATGTCCTTCCGTTGCTCCTGGATCTTGATGTTGTACTCCTTGAGCGATTCGCATATCGCTTCCTTGAAGTGATCTATCTTCTGAAAGTCGGAAAAGTACGGCAGCAGATCTTCTATGCGCAGAAGATCACATTCTTTGAGTATTTTCAAGGCCTCCTGAACGTTTTCGTGTTTACCACGGATTTCCTTTTCGGCGATAATGAGCCACAACTTCTTGCGAAGATTTTGGTCGGCCGGCTGCGATGCTGTAACTTTGGCCAGCTGTATATCGAAGGTCAGGGCGAGCTCCACCGCGGGAACCCACATTTCCAGCAGACACTGGAGAAACACGCTGGCGTCCTTGATTTGGTTCTTCAAACAGATTCTCAGCGCGTAGTGAGCATCGTAACTGATCATGGTAATGTCCTTTCCCTGAGTTTCTAGGAAAGTCAACAGTTTGTCTCGAAAATGTTCGCTGTATAGCTGGATCAAGTAATTGTGAATGGCCGGCTCGGAGCAACGGATTGAATGAATGCAGAATTCAAGATATTTAACTATTTCGGCGATGTGTCTGGGGCTATCCAGGCAGAGCAGCGATGGAATCAATTTGATGGGATCCAGCCGCTTCCCTTGATGGACCAGTACACCGATTGTTTCCGAAGGGAGTTCTTCCATGATGATTGGAGCATACTTGTAGAACACTTCCTGCCGACTTTGAGCCCTCAGAGCTGCCAAGGCATCATCGAAGCGATTCTGGTTGATGTACTGTTGGATTACGCTTTCGTAATCCTTGTGGATCGTTGTCAGCGCTGCCAGATTGTTACTATCCCCGTGGGATGCCATCAGATCGTAGATCACAGACCGATTTTTCTTCATACAATCGATTACGATAGCCGTCTGCATGAACGCATCGAACTCCTTCTGTAGGTCCCTCTCCCGCTGGACATTATCCCCAGCAGAGCGCGAAATCTCAACTAGATACAACTCCACCAACCACACGATCAGCATCGTTATTTGAGTCTTCTCCTGGGGTTTCAACTTGGCCAAACGGTTCTTCAGATACAGCATCAGGGCGTCGTTCTGATTACGCTGCAGAAACTTCAAGCACACTTCCTCGAAGCTAAGCTGCGTGTCAGAATAGATTTGAGCTGCTTCCAAATAGTTGCCAACGTCGAAGTAGGACTGAGCCTGCTTGACCAGAACCATGTCCCGGTGGGCGGGATTGTCATTGCAGTACTGCAGCGCCAGGTCAAACTTCTGTCGATCGGCGTACAGCCGCCAGGCATTGCGTTGCTCGTTGTTGATCTGGAAGTGGTGTGGAGACTAAAGTTCTAAAATCCTTCCATTAAACCTGCCAACTTACCTTGTATCTGAAAATCATCTTGTTGCTGTAAACGTACGTGACATTGGAACGAACATCCTTCACCACATTGCACAATTTGCCATACTGCTCGACAAAGTATTCCTCATAGACGACCTGATAGTTCAGAAGAGAAATGGCCGTCACGTGATCCACGTACAGCAGGATGGCGTGGAAATCCGTCAGAACGAACGACAGGGGTGTGTTCACATTCGACACCATTTTGTATGAATTTGGCTGAACAACGTCGTGCGTGGGATACGGTATCAACTCCTTTTGCACCACAAATTGCGGACTGTTCATCTTCGGGTCTATTTCTTGGAAATTGAGTCCGTCCTCAGTCAAGCAACCAAAACTCTTTGGGAAATCTTCCTCGTAGTTAAATGCTAGCTTCGAGTAGTTCAGTTTACTGATCACATCCTGAAAATCATTCAACTGCTCGGGGATGCTCAAGTACGATTTAAATACTTTCTGCAGCTGTCCCGGTGCCATTTTTGAATCTGCTTGGCGAATAGTTTCATGGAATGTATAGATTCTATCCAACGTTAGCACCAGAATGATACAGTGCATATTCCTTTGATCCTGACGCATGTGGAATTCAATGCCCGTTATGGGACGACTATCACCACCGGTTCCAACATCGAACACCTGACGAACGACCTGCTGCACCAGTTTATCTCCGCTGTCTATTCCGATATCAGCCTCCCAAATAGTTCCTTTACTCGTACCCAACAAAATCGGACCGGTCATCATCTCCATGTTATTGGAGTAGTTGAATCCAATGGCCGTAATTTCCTGATCTTTCAACTGAAAACAGATAAGCACACATTTCACTCACTCCGCCAAATTGAAATACACGGCAACACTCACCTTGGTGATAAATTTAGGCTTGAAGCTATTTCGCTGCAGATAGAGAACGTCTGGCGTGAAGCCCGGAGACTTCGGTGCCAACGTAATAAACAAATGCGCCCCCAGTGGGTCCAGAAAAAGATTGCACGATTTGAACCCACCGACGTACTTGTCGATCGGGACCTCGGTGAACTTGTTCGGCTGTTTGATGTTCATCCGCAGAATCGTTAGGTTGGTCATCAAAATTATAATCCAATCGTTTTGCACCGACAGGAACAGGATGCCGGACGGAAGGTTGAGATTCATTTTTTGTTTCGCGAAAATGGGAGGTTCCTTCTTGGTGCGAACGCTTACGTAGCCCGACGATTGGGGACGATTGGATTGATCCGGCTCGCTGGTGTTTTCCTTTATCAGGGCCGAGGAATACTGATCGAACATGGAAGCCATTTTGGCTGTTTCCAATGGTTTTTTCTAACACTGGATTTTACAAAAATATTCACTTTTGGGCAGGAAAATCCAATATAAACTGGAAAATGATTCACTGAATTTCGATTTCTCACTGAGCTCAATTTGTTATTGTTTTTGATAAGATTGTCATTGTCAGCAAAATTACTATACACACCAGCGTTGCCAGATTGTTTTAAAGCTTATCGGTATCAACGGAATTACAAAATCGGTATGTATCGGTATTTACTATTGATTTAATTTTATATTTTTGCCGTTTTTGAAAAAGAAAATTTTAACGATGATGACGACTGGTATTTGAGGGGAGTTGCTTTGTTTGACGGTTTTCTCAGTCTTAAAACACTCATTTGTTTTAAATTTAATTTTTTAAATTATCGTTGTCTTCAAATGGTGATCAAAATTGTGACCAAGTAGTGTTTCTGGGAGAATTAATTGAACTTCCTTGAGGAGACGAAATTAACTTCCTGGACACGCTGGCAGAAACTTCCTAAGGTAGATTGGAAGAAACATCTGAAGAAAGTTGGAAGGCAGAGCGCTTACGCAACAGTCGAAAGAAACAAGGACATAATTCCTGAAGAAAGAGATTCCTGGGGGATGTTCTAATGATCCAGAAAATTTTCCTGATATTAAAAAACATCCTTGAAGACTCCGAAATTTCCCTGAAGTTTTCGGAACATTCCTGAAATGCTCTTAAAAATATTTCATAATTCCTCGAAATTCCTTAAAAGTTCTTGTAATTGGGTTCTTTAAGGGTATTGAGGTAAATGCATATTCGTAATCTGCATTAAAAAGGGAACCCAAACCCAAAATTTCATAAATTTTGGTACACTGGAACTATTTTAAATAAGTACGATTACATTTGCAAAAATCACCTTATTCGCGCCCCTCGGTGTCACTTTGTATGGGAGCGAACTGTCAGTTTGTCAGTTTAGTGTCAAACAGTGAAGTTATTATTTGGCTTTAAATCTTGATTTAAAAATCGAGATGAAAGTGTGTGGGTTCGAAAAAAATATCACTGTGCTCAGAAAACGAAGCTCTTTCAGATGATATATAAAAACGGGTATATTTTTCAAAATTAAAGAACCCAATTTACCTGAGACTAGGGGTTGTTTTGGAGTTCTCTGGTCATCCTCGAACCGCTCGGAATTTCCCTGTTTATAATAAGGCTACCGGAATGTCTCTAATCATCTTATAAGGTTTTGGACTTTCTTAAAGATTACGAAATGTAATTTTTTTTTTTTTTATTATAGTCACTTTAACACTCTTGGGTCATTCGTGACTTGTCCGGAGTGAGATTTGAACTCGTGACTTTGGCGTGAGGTATGGATGTTAACCACTACGCCGGGGTCGCCCCCACGAAATGTCATAAGTACTCTCACAATTTTCTTGAATTTTTTGTAACATCAGCATTGAAGTTCTCTGATCTTCCCGATTTTTTTATTTTTTTAAAGTTATCGACACTGCCATTAAAAAAACATAGAACTTCCCATAAATTGTTCTCGCAATGTTCTTATGTTCATATAACTTCCCTTACGTTTCCTAAATTTGCATGGAAATTGCTGAAGTTTTCAGAAATTGTCTGAGTTTCTCGGAACTCCTTTATAATTTAAGCAATTTCATTGAAATTAATTGATCTGTCCTGATGTTTTCTGAGCTTCACTAAAGTTCCTGAAAACCATTCAATTTCCCTGAAGTTTTTTGGACTTGTGAAATTTCCAAAAATTTTCTGATGTTTCCTGGAGTTCGCTGGACTTTTATGAAATTTCCGGGTTTTAGAATTTTAACAGAAGTTAATGAAATTGTCTTTAATTTATCCAAACTAACACTAAAATCATTCTGAAGTTTCAGAACTTTTAAATGTGCCTGCAGCTAGTGTGGATCCGCAAGAAAAATCTGAAAGCATCTTTAGAGCTCCGGGAAAGTTAAAAAACTGGCGGGAGAAGATGAAAGAATCATTCGAGCGAAGGCTGAAACAGCTTCCAAGGTAAGGTGGAAGAAAATTCCAGGGAAAGTTGGAAGAAACTTCAGGAAGTTTAAAAATAAATGAAAACTTCCGGAAGTTAAATAATGTTTAAAATATATTGCTCGATTTCCTAGGAAAATCGGAAAGAGCCATCGACTATTACTAGATCTTTAGATATGATTGTTTAGAATTTAGAAAGCTCTAAAAATATGAGGAATTCAAAAAGATACAAGTCTCTCACAAAAATTTTCTCCGCAATTCGAGCGCGGGCAGGCAAAAATAATTTTGATAATTTAAAAAAACGGTATATATCGGTATAAAACCTTAAAAATCGGTATTCTGAGGAACCTTATCTGTGTATCGGTATCTAGTTTGGAAATCGGTATAAATACCGATTAATCGGTATATCTGGCAACGCTGATACACACTAAACAAAATTTTATTAGTTCTGCGCCTAGTTCTGCGAGTCGATCAATGTAACCTGAAATGCAATTAGGAATTCTGGAGTCCTTTTTGATTGAGTCGTATGTAACAAATGTAAACAATTGACATTTTAATGCTACCAGACACTACTCTGCTTACTCTTAATATAGGCAAAATTTGCGACCGCTACCTCATTTCTGTTTCATTTTATCGTAATTGTAATTGTAATTTATTATCGTACACCATTGCTCAGGTCAAGGAAAACATCGTCAAAAAACTATTCGTCGTATGTGCCAACTGACCAAAACATAGCTCAATTTTACATACGACACCTAACTACTAAGGGGGTGTCAATCGTCGTATGTAACAAATTTGACAGAAGCGTAAAAACTGTACATAAGACCTGTTGTTTTTTCCTAATAAAAGGGCAAATTTTACAAATATTCAATGTTAAAGGGTTGTGGGTGGTCTATCAAATGATAACTACGGTTTTTGTGAGTAATTACTCATAATAATACATTTTTAAACCGCTAAAAAGGGCACGGTCGAATGTAAAAACATGGCATGCAAAAGGTCGTATAATATTGATTGGTTAAAAAACGTTTGATTTTCAACAGAAACGCTATCAATACCTTACTCAGTTGATAGCAACACTCCTGAGATGTTAGTTAATGGGAATTTTGAAAGAATTATCGTTCTCATTGAAAATAGAACAATTTTTAGTTCACCAAAACAAAACACCCCGTCTCTCTAATTGACATAAATGTTACATACGACACAATCAAAAAGAACTCCAGAATTGAGTTCTTTACACGCTATTTCAAAACTACCCAAATTTGGGTAGAATTCACCCAGATCTGTCCAAACTGAACCTACCCAAAAATGGGTAAACTGTGTTGGGAGTGACATAGGAGAGTGTTATTCCCAACACAGTTTACCCATTTTTGGGTAGGTTCAGTTTTGACGGATCTGGGTGGATTCTACCCAAATTTGGGTAGTTTTGAAATAGCGTGTAGGGGTATAGCCGTAAAAAAAATCCAATTAAATTTCATCAATTAAAATTATGTGGTTCGCTGTAATAGAATTTTTTTAGAAGCTTGTGCCATCAACCACCAGATGGGCAAGTATTTTTGTTTTGATTTGAACAGTTGATTTTGCGTTCAATGATCTTTGACAGTGTGCAAAGAGTGTATCGTTTTGTATTTTTTTATGCATTTCAGTTTTGAGTAGAGTAAAAGAGATAGAACCAAAACATTCTAGTACATTTAGTGTTGCCATATAGTAAAATGGTACAATCCAGTGGTAGTATTTAGTTTCCATCGAATTGGTGGTTAGGCGCTTCTTATGGTTATTGCACAGACAAACAGACATAACACATTGAATATTTATCACTGTAAAACATCGTCGCTAAAACATTACCGCCATCTGTTGAATACTGTGGTGGGTAGTACCAACAATCAATACGAAACTAACGATTTTAAATTGGCTCACCACTTTAGTAGCCTATTGGTCCCAAGCAAACGATTAACATACCCTATTCTAGTTGAAATTCTATTACTACACTATGTTTGTTTTGATTCGCTATGAAAGTTTGACAGATAACATCAGGGGTGTGTGGATTCATGCAGAACATGCAGGGGTGAGTGAAATAGCTTGGGACTGCTTGGGACCGTTGTTCTGGTACTGAGTGAGCCAAAAATAATAATGATTTTCTTCGGGACCCAGTGGTCTTAGAGTTACCTCTATGGTAGTACGCTGAACAGATGGCGGTAGTGTGTATACGTCAAACGCAAGGCAATTGACTATGCGCGCCACAGGTGGCGGTACTTTTAAATTGACTGTTAAATGCTTGTTCGATGAACAACTTACGAGTGTTGTCTGTTTGTCTGTGGTTATTGTTTATGCGGGATGGTATACCCATAGAGGTAACTCTTACACCAGAAGGTCGAGATGAAACGAGCTCTACTTTTTGGCTCAGCTCTGGTACTATTTTCGGTCCCAAGCTAATCGATGCACCCCTCGAAACATAGAAAAATCCACTAACCCCTCATTTTATCTGTCAAACTTTCATAGCGAATCAAAACAAACATACACGCTAACTTCTGCTTACTTACCAGGTGAGCCGATCGTACTCACTTTCATCCGATGTATCGAGTTGTCAAAAATTGTGTAAACGAGAAATGTCAAACTGAGTAAAAGCCACTCAGTCAGCAAAATCCTGGACTTGGAAAAAATGCCAGTCATGTCGGAGGAAACCTCATAGAAAATGTTACTCAAAACCGGCTGAAATGCCTTCAGGTAAGTACGAATTGCTTACCCTAATAAAAATTGTATGGTTAATTTGCTTAACGACGTGTTCTGGGTATCATCCAAACCATTTGTGGAATAGTTCAATGATTTGGGTTATCGTTCGTTTATGGTTATTTTTTATTAGGGTAGGGAAACGGTGTTGAACCGTTTTTTGCTCCGGTAGAATGAATCCGGAGCAGGCAATTTCCATTTCCTTGAATAAAAATCAAAACAAAAACCCTTCCCGCAACCGGCGAGTGGATTTGACTCAGTCTACGTGAGAACGTAGTTTACTCAAAAGTGAGTCAACATAAGGCTACTCAATTTTGAGTAGCCATACTTGCCGCTGAGATGAGTAAATTCGACTCAATTTTGAGTTGACCAGAATAAGCGTGTAGTGTAGTACTGGAACTTATACTAGAATGGGGTACGTTAATCGATTTGCTTGGGACCAATTGGCAAATCCAAGTTGGCACTCGTGGAGAATAGAATAACTATGAAAGTGATGATGGTTTCAAAATTTTCCAACGGGGAGGTATACGAGTGCAATCTTAAAATGCTTTTATTTTGCAAATGGAGCATTTTATTTAAATCTGGTTGCTGCTATAGTTGTAGAAAAGCTGAAATCTATGTCTACACATAAAAATCTGAAAAGAAATTATTTTTTCTATATTATATGTCTATTTGGTTGTCCTTAAGTTTTCTACTAGCGTAGCATTAACCAGATTTAAATAAAATACTCCATTTGCAAAATACAAGCATTTAAAGATTGCACTCGTATGCCTCACCGTGTAAAATTTTGAAAACATCATCACTCTCATAGTTCTTCTATTCTCCACGAGTGCCAACTTTGATTTGCCAATAGGCTAGTCAACTAGTGAGCCAATTTAAAATCGTTAGTTTCGTATTGATTGTTGATACCTCCCCGTGGAAATTTTTTGAAATCATCATCACTGTCATAGTTCTTATATTCTCCACGGGAGCCAACTTCGATTTGCCAATTGGCAAATCAAAGTTGGCACTCGTGGAGAATAGATGAACTATGAAAGTGATGATGGTTTCAAAATTTTACACGGTGAGGTATACGAGTTCAATCTTAAAATGCCTGTATTTTGCAAATGGAGCATTTTATTTAAATCTGATTAATTCTACGTTAGTAGAAAACTTAAGGACTACTCAATAGATATATAATATAGAAAAAATAATTTCTTTTCAGATTTTTAGGTGTATGCATAGATTTCAGCTTTTCTACAACTGTAGCAACAACCAGATTTAAATAAAATGCTCCATTTGCAAAATAAAAGCATTCTAAGATTGCACTCGTATACCTCCCCGTGGAAAATTTTGAAACCATCATCACTTTCATAGTTCTTCTATTCTCCACGATGGCTAACTTTGATTTGCCAATTATGTTCACCTCGCCGGCAGCCGGTACCTTGAAACGTCTGATCCGGCAACACCGCGGTGCAGTCAAAACATCAAAACATCTGTCTCCTGCTTCGGGGATTTTAGCCATCAAGCGAGCGAGTGCCACGCCATTCCTTGGCATTGCATTGGTGTGCGTGCGTCACCGCTGCTGCATTTCAATCCTAATCCGCAAAAAAGAACGCCGGCTACAATCGGTAATTTTTTTAATTGTTATTTTTGCACACAAAATCGATAGCGTTGATCATGCATTATTTCTCATTTTAACCTTTAGTGGTCCGGGTACCGAGGGAAGATGAGCGATTGATACATTAGGTGAGTGTAGTGCAGTTATAAAGAGGAAAACTTTTTCCGTGAGTGTGGAAGCGACATTTTTGTTTCCGGCACAGCAAAATAGGTAGGTGTTGTCACTGTGTGCTATTGAGGGACGAATCTAGTCATACTTGCATCTGGACTCTGGTTGATAAAAATCTAGTGATTGGTTATAAGTTTTGAACCGGAAAATCGTAACAATGGAGCACGTTTCCAAGCTCCGTATGAATCTCGAGAAGCAGGAAAGCCTGGTGAAGCTGGGCATTCTGACTACGGCAGCGATACTATGTGAGTATGGTTTGTTTGCTTTGCTGTGATTGTGTTTATGAATACGAAAAATATCTTGCAGCATTCTCAACGCGCCTGTTCTCCGTGTTGCGGTTCGAGAGTGTTATCCATGAGTTCGATCCGTATTTTAACTATCGGACAACGAAATTCCTCGCTGAGCAGGGATTTTATAACTTTCACAACTGGTTCGATGATCGAGCGTGGTATCCACTGGGTCGAATCATCGGAGGTACCATCTACCCAGGACTGATGGTGACCTCGGCCACTTTGTACAGGATTATGTGGCTGATGAACATTACCGTAGATATTCGGAATGTATGTGTGTTCCTAGCGCCGTTCTTCTCGTCACTAACCACCATCGTGACGTATTTGTTGACGAAGGAAATTTATACCACTGGAGCCGGGTTGGTAGCGGCCGCAATGATCTCAATTGTACCAGGTTACATCTCCCGTTCGGTGGCCGGTTCGTACGATAACGAAGGTATTGCCATCTTCTGTATGCTGTTGACCTACTATATGTGGATCAAGGCAGTGAAAACGGGAGCCATCTTCTGGGCAACCATGGCCGCACTGGCCTATTTCTATATGGTGTCCTCTTGGGGAGGCTACGTGTTCCTGATCAATCTGATTCCGCTGCATGTGCTCGCTTTGATGGCAACCGGTCGTTTCACCCATCGGGTGTACATCGCTTACAGCACCCTGTACACAATCGGAACCATCCTGTCGATGCAGATTTCCTTCGTTGGATTCCAACCCGTCCAGAGCTCAGAACATATGCTGGCTTTCGGTGTGTTCGGTCTTTGCCAGCTACATAGTTTCGTTGATTACGTCCGTTCACGTGTCTCGAAGGAACACTTTGAAATCCTGTTCAACGCACTCGTTGTGTCCATCGCAACGATCACCGTCCTGCTTAGCCTTATTCTCACCTTGACTGGAAAAATCTCACCATGGACCGGACGCTTCTATTCGCTACTGGATCCATCCTACGCCAAGAATCACATTCCCATCATCGCATCTGTATCGGAACATCAACCCACCTCGTGGTCTTCATTCTACTTCGATCTGCAGATTTTGGTGTTCCTGTTTCCGGCTGGTTTGTACTTTTGCTTCTCAAAGCTGTCCGATGCCAATATTTTCATTATTCTGTACGGAGTCACTTCGATCTACTTTGCGGTATGTTCAATTACATTCAATTACACGATAGACACAGATTTTCTAACTGAAACTTTGATTCCAGGGTGTCATGGTTCGTCTGATGTTGGTCCTGGCTCCTGTTATGTGCGTCCTGTCCGGTATAGCCATCTCGCACTTGCTGAGCAAGTACATTCGTAACGTGGACAGCAGTGGTAGTGGGGCCGGTGGTTCCAAGGCTCTCGATTCGAAGAAAGCCAAGAAACTGGAACAACAATCGCCGATGAAGAGCGAAATTGCCAATGCCTTTGTGGTGGTTATTACATTGTTGCTGATCACGTACACATTCCACTGCACCTGGGTCACATCCGAGGCATACAGCTCGCCCAGCATCGTACTGAGCGCTAGATCACACGATGGAGGACGAATCATCTTTGACGATTTCCGTGAGGCGTACTACTGGCTGAAAATGAATACACCTGAGGTGAGTAACATTGAATATCTAAAATGAGGATTTCAAACAGCTAGGCAATGTGATGATGAACGATAGTTTAAGTTTGAGAGACAGTTCATTTGAATCCACTTCTTGAGAACGACGTAAATGATCGGTTGAGTTACCAGTTGATTCCCGGATTTTGCCTTCTTCTGATGCGGACAAATAGTAAAACTGTCTCGGTGATCAATAGCACTTTGATCGCTGAGCATTGCGTTTGGATGTTCAAAACCTAATTTTAGTGACTACGAATTTCATCCTAACCAACCAACATACGCAAACTTTCAGGATGCACGAGTCATGTCATGGTGGGATTACGGCTACCAGATAACGGCCATGGCCAACCGCACCATTCTGGTGGACAACAATACGTGGAACAATACGCACATTTCGCGGGTGGGCCAGGCGATGGCTTCGACTGAGGACAAAGCCTACGAAATAATGAAGGAACTGGACGTCGACTATGTGCTGGTCATCTTCGGTGGACTGACCGGATATTCCTCCGATGGTTGGTCCCTCCATCGTGCAGAATCTAGTGAACACAGATCTCATCACCCTCTTTTGCAGATATCAACAAATTCCTGTGGATGGTCCGTATCGGCGGTAGCACGGATCGCGGTGCCCACATCAAGGAAACCGACTACTACGCATCGAGTGGCGATTTCCGCATCGACAAGGAAGGATCCCCCACGTTGCTGAACTGTTTGATGTACAAAATGTGCTACTATCGATTCGGGCAGGTCTATACCGAAGGTGGCAAAGCACCGGGCTACGACCGGGTACGTGGTGCCGAAATTGGTAACAAAGACTTCGAGCTTGACGTCCTGGAAGAGGCGTACACGACGGAACACTGGCTGGTTCGAATTTACAAAGTGAAAGACTTGAGCAATAGGGGTGTCTAGGAAGGAGACGCACCCCTCTCCATGATGCTACCCATCATTACATACTGCTTATTTTCCGGACTTTCCTATGACTCAAAATTAGCCCTTAAAATGGTGTACTCAAAATTAGATCATACTTTTTTTCGAATTAATTTCTACAATCTACTTCATAAAATAAATTAAGCAAAAAATCGCACCCCGCAAAACACTACACAAGTCCTAGATAGTGTGTACTAGAATATGTAATTTAAGCCCATACTGAGAGAGTTTGGGTGAATTCGCAATTTGCAAATGTAAACCACAAGCGAATAGAACAGTCTACCCAAAAACAAAAAAGTGGTAGTTTTAACACAACAGTTTTATACACATGGTATGCGCTTTGTGCAAAGCAGAACTCGTACAATTATTATTGATAGAAAAGGTTTTTTTTTACAAGCTCGCCCACAGAAGAACCACAGCAGATTGGATCGATCCTTAAGAATAAATTTAACACAACGAAACTGAAAAGGTTTGAGGTGGTGCTATTTTGCTCAAAAAATAACGGTCATTTAAAAGCAAAATAGCACACGACCACGAGCTTAGCAACTTCATTTTTATACGCAAAGAAAATGTCCAGGTCAAGGTGAGGACTATCATTCGACAGCCATTACTCGAATTCATCGGACGTGTGCTCTTTCTGCTCTGCTTAACTTGGTGAAATATTGTAGCGAAATTGAGTGTAGTTCGTAAAAATACACTTGTTGTTGACTTCAGTGTCCTTCCAGTTCGTCCCAATGCGGGAAAAGTGCAAACATTCTTCGAGAACAATATTAAGCTTGAATATTCGGACGTTAGATGCATTCAGTTTCATAGCGTCCGAAATTGTGTTTTATTGAGATGATAGACAAGGAAGTTTCCTTGCGCTATGAAAAGGCGCACAACTATAAACACGCGATTTTCTGAGCGAAGAGTGAGTTCAAAATCCCGGTATATGTGGATTGTGAAGCAGTGACCGTTAGAGTGCATGACCTTCCTCTGGCATGGCCACAAGCCACTGTTATGAACCACATGGCAAAGTACGGGACAGTGATTTCCAGTCGACACGAGAAATGGAAGCACTACTTCCCAGGATTCCTGAGCGGTGTTCGAGTTTTGCGAATGCGACTCGAAAGCGCCATTCCATCATACATCACGGTCGACAACGAAACAACGTGGGTATTAACGTACGACAAGCAACCAAAAACGTGCCGCCATTGTGGCCGAGCAACACATCCCAAACCACAAACAAAGTGACAGACGACTAACTGGCGAAGAAATCCATTAAAATAATGTGGTTCACTGTAATAGAATTTTCTTGGAAGCTTGTGCCATCATCCACCAGATGGGTTAGTTTTTTTGTTTTGATTTGAACAAAGTTGATTTTGTGTATAATGATTCTTTGACAGTGTGTGTCATTTTGTCATTTTTTTTTATGCATTTCAGTTTTGAGTAGAGTGAAATAGATAGAAACAAAACATTCTAATACATTTGGTGAAAATGCTAGTACAATCCAGTAGTAGTGGTGTTGCCATGTGGTACACTGAACAATTGAAATAGCAAGTTAGTCACCAAAGTTTTCGAGCCGCTCCGTCTGTCACTTCGTTTGTGTCCCAAACAGAAATGTTTGGATGTAGCCACATCGAACACTGAAACAAAGACCATAGTTAGGAATACTATTTTGCAGAAAACACTTATTTTCAGTATAACTGCGCTTAATGCCGTTAAATCTACCATGATTTCAGTATAGCTGACTATAAATATAAACAAATTTGATACCATTTTGTCAAAAATACTATGCTTACTCAAACGGCATAGTAGTTTTGATAGAAAAAAAATAGTAAAATTAAATGAATTTCGTTTCTGCACAAATCTATTGGTGCGAGTATTTAATTTAAACCATCAATATAGTAATTTTACAAATGGATTTTGTTTCTGTGTAGCACCGCTCCAGCAGCACCACCAACCGAGGAGGTTTTCAGTCTCGCTGATTTCCCGTCGATGGATATCGAACAAAACCAACCAACGACATCGGGTCAATCATCTCCTGCTTTCACCGGGTTATCAGCAGAAGAACCGAGAGAAGAACAACAGCGAAACATCGACAGTCAAACCATAGAGGTAACTCTAAGACCAGAAGGTCACGAAGAAACGAGCTCAACTTTTTGGCTCAGCTCTGGTACTATCTTCGGTCCCAAGCTAATCGATTCACCCCTCGAAACTTTGGAAAATCCACTAACCCCTCATTTTATCTGTCAAACTTACATAGCGAATCAAAACAAACATAGTGTAGTACTGGAATTTATACTAGAATGGGGTACGTTAGTCGATTTGCTTGGGACCAATAGGCTAGTCAAGTAGTGAGTCAATTTGAAAACGTTAGTTTCGTATTGATTGTTGGTCAAACCGAGGATCATCACACTTCAAACGTTGAAAGCAACGACGAAAACTCTAGCACCAGCTCATCAAACGCAACAAAGGATTTCATTGAAAATATCAACAAACGTCGGCTGTCGAAGCACAAGGAGAATGAAAAAAAGAAAGTTCGTCCCTGATCAGTGCACCTAGAAGACTGGTCAGCAAACAGATCGTTTAGATAAAAATAATCCAACTTATCAAATAGGGGATATGTAGTACCAACAATCAATACGAAACTAACGATTTTAAATTGGCTCACTACTTGACTAGCCTATTGGTCCCAAGCAAACGATTAACGTACCCCATTATAGTCGAAATTCTAGTACTACGCAATGCTTGTTTTGATTCGCTATGAAAGTTTGACAGATAAAATGAGGGGTTCGTGGATTTTCTTATGTTTCGAGGGGTGCATCGATTAGCTTGGGACCGAAGAGAGTACCAGCATAGAGGTAACTCTAAGACTAGAAGGTCCCGAAATAACGTGCTCAACTTTTTGGCTCAGCTCTGGTACTCTCTTCGGTCCCAAGCGAATCGATTCACCCCTCGAAACATACGAAAATCCACTACGTTAATCGTTTGCTTGGGACCAATAGGCTAGTCAAGTAGTGAGCCAATTTAAAATCGCCAATTTAAAATCTGTTCGGGCTTATTGTGGCACTTAAGGCCGGCGCACAATAGATACGTTTTCGGGTTTTTTGACAGTTAGCCCATGCATTATCTGTCAAAAAACCCGAAAACGTATCTATTGTGCGCCGGCCTTTACGAAGAGCACCGGACATGTTGACGAAAATTTCCATCAGTTCATCCGCTGAGAACAGATCGGGGTTGTTGTTTTGCGCTGTTTGTTGTCTCACGAATCCAGAATCCAGGGGGGGATGAAGAGCTTTGGCCAGCAGAATCACCGGAAGTTGCTTGAGCGAAATGCACCCGCGAATTCGCTTGCCTTTGCTGAGGAGCACCAAGAGGCGGGAAATCCTCTGTCCGAAATGCCGGGACTTTGTCCTTCTTGCGCGTCCTGATTGGTTGTTAGTTGCCGCCTGTTTTTGGATGCGTTTATAGTCCTCGCGTTTGGAGCACTGTCTGTCGGAACCTTGATGAGCACCACCACAGTTGGTGCATTTTAACGCCACGGCTCCATCCGCAGGGCAGTTGGAAGTGGCGTGTTCTTGAGCGCAGTTGCTACAGCGTGGCTTAATGTTTCAGTTGCGAGTGCCGTGTCCAAAGTTCAGACATCGTTGGCACTGGGTCACATCGCGATAGCCTCCACGGTATGGCCATAGAGGTAACTCTAAGACTGGTAGGTCCCGAAGAAAAGAGCTCAACTTTTTAGCTCAGCTCTGGTACAATCTTCGGTCCCAAGCTAATCGATGCAACCCTCGAAACATAGGAAAATCCACGAACCCCTCATTTTATCTGTCAAACTTTCATGGCAAATCAAAACAAACATTGTGCAGTACTAGAATTTCGACTAGAATGGGGTACGTTAATCGATTTGCTTGGGACCAATAGGCTAGTCAAGTAGTGAGCCAATTTAAAATCGATAGTTTCGTATTGATTGTTGGTATGGCTCCCATCGTACAATGATGGAGTAAATTGAGCGGATAGCCAGCAGCGCATTCAGCGTCACCGTTCCATTCTGGAAGTGCACCAGGAAAAGACAATCCGGGTACGTCTTCACGTTTTCTTCTCTCCTCGTCATCCGAAAGACAGCGATTGGGGCCAGCTGGTACCGGTCCTTGAGTTCTTCTTCGATCGCCTTGGGGTCAACATTCGGTAGACCCCTGATAACTACCTTGAAGGGCTTCTCACCGGGGATGTCGTGCGTGAAGTATTCCGCATTGGAATCCTTCAGGAATTTTACGGCGATTTCGTATTCCGCTTTCATCCGGAGCATCACCTTAGTGCCGATCCTGCTGATCTTGTACTCAACTGCGATGCCCAGCGAAGCGAAATCGCCAATGAGCGTCTTGAGTGGCACTACCTTCACCACCAGTGGAGGAAGCTTGACTTTCGCCGCACTCGGGCCGGCAGAATTCTCGGTTTCAACGGCGTCGCCGAAATCACCGATGCCGCTGGCGTTCGTCGCGGTAACATCACCTACGAACCGACATGCCACAGGAGCATTTCATTTGTCCACAATTCTAATTGTCTAACGAGCGATTCGAACTTTCAAACGGGCGATCAGATTTGTCAAACGAGGTGAGACGTACACCAAGGCAAAATAAATTCCCAACAAACAATTTGGGTTGATCAACAGCTTAATAAGCCATTGTTTAGCTGAAAAAGCTTGTTTTTGCCTGAATAAGCTCTTATACAACATTCAATGTTTGTTGGGTTATACGTGGGTTCGTGTCCTTGCTCATGGTATGACGCGATCGGGAGAGTAGATGTCGGTAGTGTTTAACGTATTTTAAATATGGCGTCTTGGCCACGAATTTGAAAGTAGCTTATATGAGCTGTCCCGTCGGTTCATCGCGTCCGCTCGTACCATCGGACTGTCCTTGATTTTTCTTCCTCTTTTTCGTTCGCTTCACCGGGACTGGGTTGGTATTCCCAACATCGGTGGGAAGAGTAGCGTACCTATTCGAGGTAGGTACCGAGCAACCCTCACCACTGTTCTTCTGCTTGTTCACTGCTCCGGGATCGCTGTCTTCCCATCACGCGATGCGACCGACACTACTGACGACGCGACGTGCAGTATATCCATAGAGGTATAACGCACTCATCAACACACATGGCTTTACTTCCTTCGGTTGAGACTCTGTCTCATTCGGTCAGCGGCCCAAGTCCATCGGCGACTTCCACTACCACGTCATCAACGCCAAGATCGCTTCGACCCAACGGAACCCCGCCGCCTGGCTTTTGCGGGCCTCCGTCCGATGCTGACCCATCCAACCACACAGCCGAGAACCACCTGAACCTCTTTTCGCCCGTTGAAACATCCCTGCCTCTGGTGGGAGGAATCCCTCACCCTGCCTCTGGTGGGGCTCCGTCTCATTCGGATCGTTTTTCGAGCCCATCAACAGCTACAGCCGCTACATCAACGCCCTGGACTATTGGATCCCCC